ATATATATATATATATATATATATATATATATATATATATATATATAAATATATATATATTATAAGTAATCAACTTGCTAATTTTAATCTATTACGTTGAATAATAAAACTAAAAAAAAACATTTCCTAAGTAGCAGACTTTAAATCTATTGAGATTTAGTACTAAAAATTGGCGATTGAATGACGCAAAATTAATTCCACGTACGTAATATTTTTATAAGCTCATATAACTAATATAATAGCGTTTGTCAATCTGTATAAATATACTCTAGTCGTACAAATATACGAGAAACCTCAATATTTATTTGTCAACCGACTCAAAGATGAACTGAGATCTTCTTGTCCTACTTTTGAACCGTTCATTGCAAATATTGACTTTATTTGCGAAAACATTGACAATAGACGAGGTTTCAATAAATAATCCATAGTTAAACATTATTATGTTTATTGTATAATATATTAAGAATCAGACGCAGTATTTATCAGATGAAAATTATTTCTCCTAACTAGTGTATTTGTGTGTTGATAAAAGAGAACAATGCAAAAGTGCGTCCGTTAAGTTCGGTTACGTATTATAAAGTGAACAGTGGTGCCACTGTCGCGCACACACGCATTAGCTTTTTTTTAAACACGTACAAAGTTGTCTTTCTCCCACTTCTCTGTCAGACTCAAGTTATTTGACTTTTATGATGATATTTTAACAAGATATGTCATATGTTGAAATATAATGAAATTGAATGATAATTATTAAATAAATACGTCAATCTGACGACGACCTTCGTAAGCAGGCGAGTGAGCTGACAACTGACACGCACGGCGCTACTTCACGTAATTGCATCTTAGATATAGGGTTGTCACTACTAAAGTAGTAGGTATGTTTTTAATATGCAAACACTTTGTGTTGTACTTAGTGCTTACAAATATATATATTCTCCTTTTACAAGGTTACTAGTTGAGGTTTTGTGCTTATTACGAAAAAATATCTTCTTATTTATCAACCAAATTCCTGTGTTAAGCCATGTTTTGTAACTATATATTAAAGCATGACTTTACTGTCAAACCTGGATAAGTGAGAGTTCAAGGGATAGCAATATTTTTCTCCCTTATAGAGGTTTTTAATAACACAGTTTCTCGCTTATGGAGGACGCCCATCACATCAGGACAATGACTCACGCTTATAGAAATTTCTCACTTATCCAGGTTCAACTGTACAAATATTCATAATATGCACACACAAATAATTAAACAAATCTCCACTATATTCCAAAAAATATTTACATAGAAGTTATGACAACCCTAAAATAATACATTGCACTTAAACTCACTGAGTCACAATATCTTTGTAATGTAAAAATTCAACATTTTGTTAATCATCAATTTCCACTAACACATTAATTATATTAAACATATAAAATCAGGTCTGGATAATCAAGAGTCCAAAAGAACACAATATTTTTCTTGTTAATAGAGCTATCCTAAAACATGGTCTTTTTGCATATGGAGGTTGTCAGACAGGACTGACCAATACCAAACCCGCTTATAAGAGTTTTAATATAGTTATATGTTTTGTGTCAAAAAGAATATGAGCAATGAACATAACAGTCAGACGAAGCAATAAAATATTTTATATCAAATATTAAACAATAATATTTATCAGATGTGTTTCACTGAAAATCAGTATAATGCATAATTTGGGTGTACCTTTGAGAATTTAATGTATGATTTGATTTCATCTCAATTAACAAATAAATGTATCCTTCTTTCTTCAATGAAATAACTTGAAACAATATCGCTCAGATTAAACAGTCTTATAAAATATATTGCACAAATATTTGATGATTAATTCTAGACAAATTGGAAAATATTTATATCACAGTTGTGATGGATTGCTATAATAGTACTAATATATACATACTTAATTAAGTAGTATTAACTTGAAGTTCACTGACTCTATATTTTATCAAAAGAGATCAACCCTAGTTCATTTCAACTATTTTCAACTTAAAATTGGTGTCAACAAACCCGTGATTGTAAAAATAACAAATTCCTCAGACATATACAGACTAATTACATTGTTTAATATCACAAACAATATAAACAACAGATAGAAACAATATGTCAATAGTTTGTAAAAAAAAATCATGTTAATTTGTCCAAACTAATTACAATGTAACATATGAATGAATCTGTTTACAATAACTGCTATCATACTAAAAATATAATCAACACTTACAAGTTAATGCATGTTTGCAGGAAAAGAGAGTTAAAAAAAGTTAAAGAACAGATAACATTTAAGTAAAAATAAAGAAGAAAAAAAATTCTGTTGTTTTTGTCACAATTGTGGTTTTCTTTGTTGTTAAAAATCATATATTTCTTAAAGAAGGCTCTAGTAATAGTAAGAGCGAGATATTTAATATTATAATTTTTGTAATAATGCCAATACAATATATTTAATGTTTCCTTTTTTAACTAACGAATCCAAGCAAGTCTGCTTTAGAACAACGTAAAAACATGTTAATATAGCAAAACTTGTTCGTTATTTAACTGTTTATGTAAGATACGTAAAATTATAAGCAATTATAAAAATTAAAAATAAAACAGTGTAATCAATGCAATAAAACGTATGCAAAACATTCGATGCCAGTTATATCAGTGCAATATATTTATCGTTATATTAAATACTCGGATGATTATCAAAAATTATGAACTTACCATAACGAGATGGGAGAATGGGGCGGAATTCGTGGGGGGCACAGGAAAAGTTTTAATTGCAGCCAGCGTACTTTTTGGTATAAAATGCAAATAGGACACACTACAGAGACATTAAGTTAACCTATTTCTAGCCTGATGCTCCTACATCACATAGAGCACTAAAGACACGATATTCATCAGGCTACGTTAATAAATTCAAGCAACACCACCACCACTTTACGATCTTCAAGTCGACTAATTTGACATTGACACACGAACTGGAATTACATTTCACAATGACAGTGACAATTAACGGGTTTTGCGTTCCGTTTTACGATTTGGCTGAAAATTTTGTCAAGTTTTACTTCATTAAATAAAATAAATTTAATATTAGCATAGGTTACCAGAAACTTAAGAATAAATTGGATTATATATAGGGAACTTTGCCTCCATTTTTATCCGGGCTATAAATATTATTCAGCACATCAACACATCAAATTGTCAGGAACTCAAAAATGATTAAATTTCAATAAAATACTTTGACAACTCGAAAAATTTTATTTTAATAAAATTGCTGTAGCTGTTATTAATTATTATTTTTTTTAAAATAAAGTAGTTCCTTAAGTTTTCCGCAACGTGGTACGGTGTTTAACCAGGGCTACCTATATTGTACTGTTTTTTTTCCTAAGTTTTTAACGGAAGCGACAAGCGAAGCGAGGCAAGGGTAAAGGAGATGAACAGATGTGTCGCTAACAGGCGTGTAATGAGTTTTGCTAACGAGACGTTAAATCGCAAACTTTTTCTATTTTATTTTTTGCTACTGTCTACAATCTTGCGTTTTTTATTAACTAAATAAAACCGTTTTATATATTACATTAATTACGACAAATGACTACTGAATTGATTCATTACGTGCTAGTTTTATGCATTTTCTAAAACTGTGTATATTTTTAACTTTTGACATATTTTTACGCCTAAATGTTTCTCAGATGTAACTATAGAGCTCTGGCATTCGTAGCAAGGTCTCATGAAAAATCAAAATATTATAAAGCAGGTGACACTACCGCACCACATTATGGTTTATTGGCTGTGGGACCACCGCCCATCTATGCGGCCCATATGAAATTCTCAAATCAAAAAACACATTGTTACGTGGCGGGAACCGAACCTGAATTTCGGCCCGGTCAAATGCTTAACAACTGTGCTCCGACGCTCCAGACTTTTATATAGTAACAAAAAGTTAAGTATAAAATGTTGCAATATAATATTGCTGTACAAAATATCGAGTGTAGCAGAAAATTATATTAGGACCGGGTCACACGCGCGACTGGTTACTGATTGAAAATGTATTGGGTTCTTTGTCGCGGCGGCGGCGTGCGTCATACGCAGTGGGTTCGTTATCGTGGCGACGCGGCATTGAGCGCCGATATGCTGGAGGAACGCGCGTCTGAGCACGGCCTACTAGCATTCGCCCTCGTCTATCTTACCTTCTTCCTTGATAATGTTCTTCTGACAGTGCTCGGTCAGTTTGGAACTCCTTTGAATTTGGAACTTTTTCGAAATCTAGATTAGGAACTGTAATTATTTTTATAGTTCCCATAATTCCGGACTGGGTGCGCGGCGAGTCTCTGGCACTGTGGGCTACACACGACGCTCCCCTCGTTAAGTTTCTTAACACAACTGTGAACAAAATCACCACAGCTGATGAAGATGAGGGTAACTGCTTCATTTAGTTTAGTCTAGATGTCAACTACTGGGATTGAGATGCAATCTCAATTTTTACAGGTGTTGGGGGCTCGCAGGCGCTAGTGGGCGCGGTGCTTGGCGCAAAGGCGGCAGCGCAGCTGCTGATGGCCCCGGTAGCCGCGTGCGCTGTGGCCCGACGCGGACCTGTGCCCGTGCTGCGGGCCGCTACCGCACTACTGGCGACTGCTGCAGCAGGTTATCACACAACGGTGTATCAATTATTTCAAGCAATTACCCACTTAGTCAAGGAAATATGTCGTGTGCAGTATTCGGTTGGTGCGCACGACGCGGTACTGGTGCGTTGGCGGCGGGTTTGGGCCGCGTGGTGCACGGTGCGGGCGCGGCGCTGGCCGGCGTGTCGGGCCTGGCGGTGGCCGCGTCATTGCCACACTTACGTCGCAACGCTGTAGCTGTGCTCCTGGGTGCTGTTGCACTGGGTAAGTTGCCTTATGTGAAGCAAATCAAGCTTAGGATTCGGGAAGTATTAACCATGAATTTTGGTTACAGGTGTTTTAGTGGGATATCCTTTTGGAGGTTCCGCTTACGTCCTGTGGAGTCCAGCAGCACCTTTCCAGCTGATATGCTTCGCTTTATTGTTAGATCTCGGTATGTCAAACTCATATGTTAATCAAGTAGTATTTTGTAAACTCTGAAATCTATCAGCACAAATCCTACGGAATTATCAGTGTATAATAAAATTACCTAAAAATGTAATATTTTCAGTTTTACAGTATGCCTTTTTAAGAGAAGATGGCGAATATCAAGTAAGAATTAGTTAATTTATTTAAATGATTAGCTAACTTTTCTGCTCTAATCTTCTTCTTCTCTGTTGCATAATCTTCAGATCCAGTGCAACCAAGAAAACAACAAGCAAGCCAGGCCGGAGTCTATGTGGGCGGTGTCTCGGCGCGGCGGAGCGCTGGAGTGCGCGGGCGCGGTGCTGCTCACCACCAGCGTGATGGCCGCGCTGGAGCCCTGCCTGCCGCTCTGGATGCTGGAGAAGTTCCGTCCGGAGCGCTGGCAGACTGGCGCCGCTTTCTTACCAGGTCACACGTCGCACTATCTGCGGTCAATATTAGTTTAAATCTCGGTAGATTGTCATGGACCCATGTCCATCACTTGTATATGTTCCTCGTAAGCAGATAGCCTGGGCTACCTGATCGCCACCAGCTCGCTGGGCGGCGTGACGCGGCTGGTGGGTGCCGAGCGAGTGGCTCTGGTGGGGCAGATCACCGTCGGTGTGGCTGCACTAGCCGTGCCGTACGCAACATCCGTTAGTATACTAACAAATATCACGTTATGTTTACTGTGCAACTTTTCTGTAAAGAAATGGTCCTGCTTCTTCTCGCTCTGTTTCTGATGAGAGGCAATACCTACGAGTGAGATACAAGCTGTGCGTGGTGCAGGTGTGGGGTCTGGCGACGCCGCAGCTGTGTGTGGGCGTGGGTCTGGGCGCGACAGACGCAGCGCTGGCGCCCGCTCTGCTGGCTCGCCGGCCGCGCCGCGTGCCGCAGCTCGCCGCGCTGCTGCAGGCCGCCGCCAGCGCCGCCTATGCACTCGGTAACATATACATATTTTAAGTTTGTTTATACATATGGAAGTGATCATGAACATATGATAAATGTTTTAATAATATCCGTAGTCGGTTCACTAAGAAGTAGAAACATAATGATAGACATTAAGCCGAAAATGTAAATCCTTTAAATAGCGATAAAATTCGTAAATAAGTTGTATGTCGTGTGTCCAGGTCCAGTAGTGGGCGGCGTGGTGTCGTGGTGCGTGGGGTTCGAGACGGCGCTGCGTGCGCTCGGCGTCGCCAACCTGGTGTACGCCGCGCTGCTCTACCGCGCCCTCACCGCACACCCGCTCTCTCCGCAGGTTCAATATCATACATAACAATATACTCAATATATTTAGTCCGTGTATCCCTTAAGGTAATGGGCGTAATTTGTATGTGTTTATGCCACGCCTGTCATATGTGTGGCATGATGTTGCACCGGGTGAACGGGAAATTTTTTCGAGAACTAGCACTGTTGCGTACTGTACCTTTTTTAAAACTCAAATTCTTCATATTTTAATTTGTTTTTGTGTTATCAGTGGGGCGCTGGCACACCAACTGACGACGACAGCGAGGAGGAGGCGGCCGAGCTCACTCCGCTACGCTAGCGCCCCCGCGCCCGCCCGGCATCTACACACTATTTATATATTTCATCATTGTAATTATAATAAAAGATATTTGCAATTGTAACTTATATTTTGTTCTTCGAGCGAAAAGTAAATAAATCGATAGACAAATGTTTTTTTGTATTCATTCGACCTTTTTATGTAAACAGAGATGATCATATTTAGCTTTTACAACTAACAGGAAATATTGTTTTTAGAACTACTTAAAGAACTGTAGATTTGTAACAATTTAATCCGTATGAGGCTAATGCAAGACAGGGTTTAACCATATTCGGCGCTCTGGTGTTAAGATCAGTAGCTGCCTAAGCACTAAAAGTAGTACGTCCATTGGTAGACGCCCTTCAGGCTTGGCGCTCGAGCGGCCACGTCCCGCGCGTCTTCGCGATTTTTACATTATATTAGTATAATTTAAAACGAACCTCTAAGCAACAATCAATGTATCAAACCTCTTCACAAAATGTACAGCGATTAAATTCACAGTTGTCAATTCATTTGTTTGCTATCGGCCGTCAAGCCGCGTAGCTGCACCAAAATTATGTTCAAGTGATTTTTTGTAAAATTTACAGTGATTTTATACACATATATCAAAATTCGAAATGACGTGCAAGAGACCTTTAGGTAAGAGTATAGAAAATCCAGGAATAATGTATACTTACAGAGATGTCATAGTTCAGTATTCGAACCCATGGCCCTACCGACCTTCGATTCTACGTGTCTAGCCAATGCCAAAATGATTTTCTCTTCAGAATACAATTTAGGCTATGTACAGGAAAAACTGTACATGGTATCACCAAATAATTTCGTATTACATTAATTACAAGGAATTTGGATGTAAAATTAGTTACTTGGAGGATGCTTTAAAAAAACTTCTGTATTTTTTTAAGAACATGAAATACTTTTAAAGCAAGGAAGGAATAAAAAAGCCTTAAAACATAGACTATTTGAAGATTATACGCGATGTTAAAAACTTGCATGTTACACAGTTAGACCCTATTTTCACTAGAAGAGGTATCTGTACAACTCAAACGCACGCCATTACTACTCGACTCAGAGAGATAACAAGAGACGCGTGCGGCCGAAGTCGCACGGCTAGCCACTTACGGGAAGGTGGAACTCAATTATTTATGGTCAGGTCCCGGACCCGGCGCGTATGCGCTGCCTCCTTGCGTCGGGTTCCAGCAGCATGACCCGACGCGCTATCGCAACCCGATGTACTCGTTGGCGGGCACATCGGGGTTCCGCGTGCGCCCTGTTGGCCCCGGCCCTGCGTACCGCATCGACAAGGTCACCCGCGACGGAATCATCACCTCCCCCGCATGGACTTTTGGATCTAGGTAGCCTGGATGCTGCATTCTTACATATACCGTGGGTGCAGCTATTTCGACTACAACGTTTTCTTCTTTCAAGATAAATAATTTTATTACACCTTTCTTTGACGCAAAACTACTATTTGTGTAAATGTTTGCATAGGTAGACTCAATCAAGGGAAAATGTTCTTTCAAAATTAACATTAAAATATGTTAAAAATAATAATCACTAATTTCAATCAATGTTATCTTTATTTAATTTTAATACCTACTATCCCTTATTTAATTAAATAATTGTAATTATCAATAAGTTGTTTTGCAAGTTCCACATTTGCTTTCACTCAGATTCCCAGTCCGAAGCTCACTGCGAACGCCGGGACCGGGCGCCCATGCGCCAGAACGGTGCCCACGCGGCGTGCAGGCGCCCATCTACTCCATGGGAGCGCGCCCACAGGATCGCATGAAGAAGATCGGGCCCGCGCCTAACGCGTACAACACGCGTTGCGGGTTCGGTGGGCCCGCTTACACGATGGGCGCGCGGCTGGGCGTCATGCCGCCTGTGTTGTCCCCCGGCCCCGCCGTATATTACCAAAAGGATACCGATGTTTACAAGACGAGGTACGGACATAGATAACCAAACATGAAAATTGAGGTTTCATTCGATTCGAATTCTCTCCTGGATTGTCATAGCTTATAGTATATATTTTAAAGCAAAGTTTATTAATTTGTCAACTTGTTACTACGACCAGACACCCGTGCTACTCGCTGGGTGCGCGGTTGGCGGGCGCGGGCAAGGCAACGCGAACGCCGGGTCCTGCGGCCTACCCACCCAATCTATATAACACTAAAAAGGTACGTATGTTTTACGACAGAGAGAGAATGACGCTGCTATTGCGGTTAGTTCTGTCTGTTAGTAGAAAATATGTAAAACCTATTTTGTCTCAGAAAATGACAAAGACGACAAGAGTTTTATAGTTCAACTAGATTTTGAAAATTTTTCAGCATTGTAAGGCGGGCGCTGAAGCGCTATTGTATTCTATTGTCACGCCCTACGAGTCATATAACTTAGTCATATGATGATTATATTTTGTTTAATGCACTAAGCCCGTGTGGTTGACTATGGCCTAGTCACCCCTAACTTAGGGTAGGCACCGAGCCCCTCGGTGGGGACGTATAGTGAGCTGATGATGATAATGATGATATTTTGTTTTCCATTTCAGAATCCTTACTCATATTCCTTTGGTACGAAACACAACGAATATGCTTGTCCAATGATAATAAAGGAAGACACTATGGACTGTCTCTAAATATTTTACGGCCAATAAAGACACATAAGGTCTACAGTGATACTGTTTAAATCGTTGAGGTAATAAAAAAAATTGGCATTCGTAATATTATGTAATATATAAACATAGAATATACAAGCGAATGACATTTTGTCATAAGTTTTTTCCCAAAAAAATTGTAGGTAAAATGTCAAAAATGTAAAAAGACAGTGGCATTGTAACGCCTTAGCAAACAGTCTTTTTGGCTTATAGCAACATTAGACAGTAACTTTTTTAGTGAACAAAAACATGTGCGAGTCTTGTGACGTGTGACGTAACGTAACGTGCAGTTGTCATATCTTATAATGAGGTTCTTCTCAAATTGTTTGATATTTTTGTATTGTTTTTGTGGATGTTTACATTAAATAAAACTAATTAAATTATTTTTATTTTTATTTATAAATTTCCCTAAATCTATGTACACATAAATATCTTACACCAAGTGCCATTTTATACTAAAGTTGTATACCTTTTGCCAACAAATACGCGTTTAATTTAAAAAAAAATGATTAGCCTAAGTATTCTTGCAGTGTTTTGTATGTATACCAAATATCCTCCAAATCCATACAGCAAGTCTGGAGTCTTTTGATTCATCCATCCATCTAAATATTGACATTTATATTAGTGAGTTAAAATATTGCTGACCAGTAGGTGAAATAGTTGATGAATAAAGGTATTTTTTTTGTTTTTCATAAAAAGGATAACCAATGGATAACTACAGTTAGATCTGGATATACATAAGATAAAGCTATGTATTTCCCATCTAATGAGATGTCAATGTGTTTTAATACAAATCATTGGACAGTAGAAATCCACAGCAATTAATTTCAGTTCAATTGGTGGATTGGATCAGTATTTGCTACTGTAATATATTTCTGAGTAAAATGGCAATTAGTTCATATTAAAACTATGACAAGTTAGAATTTCTTCATAGCTTTCAATCTATTGTTCCTCCTCATGCCAGCAGCACGCACCCTCTGCCAATATGCCTTAGAGTTGGGGTCCAGCTCATCAAGTTTCTTAGGAGCCCAGTCTAATGTCCACAGCCACTCTGGATACTCACTGTCATCTTTCAGCTGAAATTGATAGCAAACTTTGTAAAACAGAAGTCTCACCATGTTTCGGATGTTTCTTCTGCCGCTTGTTTGCTTCCTTTTTCATAAAAAAATGTTTGTTAAAATAAGAATTTGGGAGTTGCAGTAAACATTTAAATTTATCAATTAAAAGAAATCTTACTTTAACATCTTCCCCAGTAATGTAGATGTTGGAGCCGCATACCTGGCTCACCAGTTTCTCAGGGTCTGTTTCCACTGGCAATTCTTTTTTCTCCACCGCACCGAGTTTGCCAACCTTCTTCTTTCCTTTGCCAAGACCAAGTACACCTAAAATGAAGAATTAAAAAAAATTAGCATTGAAAATAATGTTGGTTGAAAATAAATCCATATTGTAGTAAATAGTAATTATTAAATAACAGACGAATATCTTACATATTTTGATCAGTAATGGATGGAATTCAATATGAAGGTTGTATAAATTGAAAACAGCAGCATGGGCACCAAGATCCGTTTATTATGTTGTTAAACATGCTTAAACTATATAGATATTTACATAAAAATTCTCATTAACTATATTCATGACCATCGCGTTGTTGCGGCGCGATTCTTCCTATTTACATCTATCATTTTATTAAAACTAAAAAGGCAAAGGTTCTGGCCAGTATGCTACTTCTTCGGCAAAATGTTCTGCACTCAACAAACGTTATTGATTATTCTGGAATAAATACCTCCAGCCGCTGCAGTAGTTTTCTTAACAACAGCACAACTTATTGCAGTTGTGTGTAGACTCGCGGCGTTACCATTGGCAATTAATGGCAATAAAGCTACATTGCAGTTCAATTTAGCTATAGTAGGATATACATTTCGTAATAATAACATTTTTGTGTATTAGCCCTGAATACAACAGGTATTGTTTATTTTATAAAATTTAGTTAAGTTACGTTACGAATTGTTTTAGGTTATATTTACAATTTGTATTGGATTTATGTCACTGTCAGTCAAATGTCAAATTACGGTGTTACTACGTATAAAATACAAATCCTCTTTCGATTTTTAAGTAACGCATGTTAAGATTTCTCAGTTATTCTTATTTTTATAAATTTTTTTTACATTTAAAATAAAGCCAATGTTTACTATTTTCCTACTTCATTTTTGTAGTATAACTGAGCATTGTAGTTTGGCATTGGCAACATTGTTAAGAAACTGTCAGCAAAGAGTATATAAAACTGTCACCGTCAATTGTCAGTCACAGCAAATAAATATCCTTCCCCTTTCCTTTCATTTCAATAAACTTTATATCAGTATCGGTAGGAAGTGCTTACGAAATTACTTTGTTTATCGTTTACGGTCGATTTGAAACATATTGTTAAACATTTTTTTAATCGTCTAATTTTCTGACATATCAAGTGAACCTGTTCTTAGACCTCCGAAAATTCAAATAAGATTTCCCCTTGGTGTTTGGGAATACCCAACACAGGTTTATTAGTCATCGTATATTTAAAACATAGTTTATTCAGTGAGCAATATGACGACAGTATTTGTTGAACTCTCGTTGTGATAATATGGGATATTTTATATTAAATACTGACGAAGATGTATATGACGATATAACCGTAAGTACATTAACAACAATCAATATTTCTATATCTTCGGACTGCATATAGTTTATTATTTTGTTTTTCTATATTAAACAGGTTACGATATACACTAGAATAAATAACTACGTTAAATATATAGAATTGAACAAGAATAATGTAAGATCCTAAATATTATTAACATGTCTATGAACCAGATTATTACACCGACCTTGTTGCAGTTATGCATGTTTCTTACGAAAGCTGTTGAACTACGTAACTAATCCTTTTATGATAAGTACATGAACAAATATTAGTACTCAGTCTATTTAATATTCTGCTCATGTTATCTCTAACTTACCCATCTATCTCTTATATATATATATATTAATGAATCTACATTTATCTTGTTCACGTGTGAATAAATGAAACAGTTTCGCGAATTATTTTGTCCAGAAAAGGTTATGCAAGAAAAAATGAAGCTGTGAGGAAAATATAAATTTAAATTCGATAGTCATAGTTTTGACAGGACGTCTGTCCGGTCAGCTAGTATTATTAAATGTAGCATTTGTATGAATAACAATAATAATAAAACATATATTGAGCAACACACTATATGTATATTATTGATAAACATTGTTTACATAGAATAGAACATTGCATCTACATATTAAAAGACATCTTACTTCTTACTAATATTATAAATGTAAGTGTTTGCAAAATACCATTAAATATTATAGTATAAGTAGTATAGTAGTAATATCATAGTATAGAGCATCGGTGGCTCAGGAGTCAAGCAGTTGACTTGCAATCTGGTCCTGGGTTTGAATCCTGCCATGTACCTGTTTTTTGATTTCCGATTTATATATGTACATTTATCTGACATTCTTATGGGGAAGGAAAACATTGTGATGCAACCTGCACATATCTGAGAAGAATTTCAAAGATATGTGTGAAGTCGACCAACCTGCACTTGGCCATTGTGGTTGACTGTGGCCTAGCCACCCCTCATTTGGGGTAGGCTTCGAGCCCCGCAGTGGTGACATATAGTGAGCTGATGATTATAAAGTGTTTGGATGAATGGATGTTTGTTATAAGGTATCTTCAGCTGTATGGATCTCCCTAAGTTTTGTATATAGAACTTAGCATAGAAGAACACATTTACTATTAACTAAGTTTTTTCCGAGTCATAGGCGAGAGCTAGTTTTACATAATGTTAAAGATGATTGATTTTGTTACAGGAAGACTACGCAAATACGATCATGAATATCGCAATTTTTGTCGTAATTGCAATTGCAGTTGTGATATTCTTCATCATAGCGTGCTGCTGCTGCCGGCGGCGCAGTCGCGGACAAGTGCTGTCACGTTAGTATCTCACTTTGTACTATTACATGATATACATAGCCATAACATAGCCAGTTTGTTGTTTTATACAAATCATTAATAGGTAAAAAATAAGTATTAGAAATAGAAATATCATAAAGGTATATCCAGAATGGATAACTTAATAAAATTTGGCAAAGATAAAGAACATAGTATGTTTAAGTTTTTTTTTTAATTAAGAGCGGACGGAGTCGCGGGCGTTAGGTATAATAAATTATAGTTTTTCTAAAATCATTTGATTTATATGGTACTGTTTTATGTCGCAGCGCCTGCCCCCGCGCCGCCCGGCCCCGCGCCCTACCCGCAGCAGGAGTACACGGCTTATCCAGGTACTTCAACAATAATACTTGCATGTTATGTTTATATGCAAAAGTATGTACTGTATCCAAATATATCCAAACGGAGGAGCGCCGTATCCAACCACTAATGCGACGTATCCAAAAATTCGATCTGTAATATTTATCTATCTTTTAGTCGACCATAAAACTATTTATCGTTATTACAGTTCCAGTGGTGACAGCGTATCCGGTAGCTGCAGCGCCATATCCGACGCAGGGTGCTCCGTATCCGACATCCGCGTCTCCGTATCCTGTCGTCAATCAGAGTTATCCGGCCACCGGAGCATCCTACCCGACTGGAGCGCCTCATCCAACTGGAGGTGCACCATATCCGAGCGGTGGGGCGCCGTATCCGACGGGTGGTGCTCCGTATCCGATGGCGGGTGCGCCGTATCCAACCGGAGGAGCGCCGTATCCATCTGGTGGTGCGCCGTATCCTACAAATCAACCTTCAGCCCCGAGCGCGCCTGAAGCAATGGGTAATGTATTTCAAATATTTTAATTACTTTGTTTTGAATTGTCGACTTTTAAGTTACTGGATATTGTAGTAAATTATGATGTCATTATGTTAAGGAAATGTGTTAGTGACGTCACAGCTGATATAAACATATCACCTCGGCAGTTCTTTTGTTACGTTATTATTTGTACTTAGTTTTGCATTATCAATCGTTTTATCTTACTTTTTTTTGTTTAAAGTATAGTAGCTCTATTTGAGCTAGGAGTAATTACGTCCTTGTGTTTGTCGTATAGCGTGCGTAAGGTCAGACCAAGTCCGTATACAAATTTTAATAATTGAAAATATACCTTTTTAACTAAAGACGTTATTAATTTTGTTGCTTTTAATCTTATTTAATTTAATTTTGAATGGTTTACCCGCGTTTTAATGTCTTTAAACCTAAAATTATTAATAACGTTAAAATGTATGTGTAAATTTTAATAAATAAAAAAATGTTTATCAAGCCATGTTATAAATAACAAAAACAATTCTATAGATTATATAATATTATTTTATCCTTCGCGTATATTGTTTCCTTGAACCGTTGGCTGAACGGTCGTGTGACCTTTGACACGATATTAAAAAGTAATACAAGGTCAAAATGGCGGGAAAATTGGTCGCGTCATTACTAACGATAACATAGATGCCATTATTGTAAAAAGTGCTTTTTAATTTACATTTTTGTTACTTTCATTTTAAATATTTTTAAAAGTTTTTGGTATTTTATTATCCTATGTTTTTAATTAAAATTTCAGAGCAATATGTTTGCAGTATTACAAATCGTGACTAATCTAATAGTTCCGTTAGTGATACATATAATCACGTATTTTGTCGGAAATTCGTGCTAATATTTTAAATATATATTTGCTACAATGAAATATCGTTCATTATAAGAAATACGAGTTAAACTAATAAAAAATATTTATTAATTAAAATTAACGAAAGAATAAAACATCGATATATTCGTGAAATTTAGTACATATTTTGTCAAGATTGGTGTTAAATTATTGTCTATTGGTTTTATGTAAATATTTGGTTGTTTTTGTAGCATTCTTTGGTATGGCGGCGCCTGGCTGGCACCCGCAAGGTATATACTCTATTTCTCATAGCAATGTTTTTATATACACGTATGACGAATGTAAAAGCTCGCCACGTAATTTGCTTTAGCTAGTTTCATTCTTTTATAAATTTTCTTCATAGATGTATAACCTGTTTTATACTTGTTCGACATCCAATCGGGTTTTCAAATGTTATTTTGCATTGTAAAGCCTACGGGGTCATGTTTCGTCCTACTTTTGTACTCCTAATAAAAAGTCTATACGTTATGTTAAGGTATGTTGTTCGTATTTAGTTATCAAATTCATTGTTAAAGTAGTGGTCATTATAGTTGTCTTTTGAATGTCACTTCTCTAGTTTGATTCTCTAGTTTACATGTTTGTTAGAAGATATCTTTAGAATGACTGCGTGGATCTCCATTAAATTTGTCATAGATGTAGAATATAGTCTGACATAGTCTCGGACGTAATCGCGGGCGACAGTTAGTGTAAATATATTTTCGAGTCTGTTTTTATAAGACTGTGAAAGGGATGATGATATTTTTTTAAACAAGTACTAAGACAATGTTGAAAGTGGAAATGTTTCAATGGTGCAGCATTCGAGTTGTTGACGCGAATTTGTAACTCGTTTTACATTCCCAATATGAATTTAACATTGTATTTTCAATCGCAGAGAAATCTGCATGTTAGGAAAACAACAAAAAAAATGCTTTTGCGTCTCTGTATATGTGATTTACATGATTTTAAAATTTAAATTGTACAAATACGCAGTCGTCGTCGTGTTTATGAAATATACATTTTACCAAACCTAATGCGCAGAAGGAAAATGTTTTTCGTAGAAGTGGTAAAGCCAGTAACAACATTTGTGCGTGACGGAGACATTTTAGTTCTCTTCCCCTTTTCACCCTTGTCGTACAAGGAAAGGACGAAAAGGTGAATTGGATTTGTCCGTATGGTTAGAGAAAATATCCTACTTTTGTGCGCGAGCGTGCTCTTCCGTTGGTTAAATGTATACATCGCATCTGTAAATGCGTATGTCTATGGGCAGCGGTCACTTCGCTATTTTGTCGAATTCCGGTGGCCGCTTGTACGTTTGTCACCTTATACTATACAAAAAATAAAGTTTATGTTTTTAAATTCAAGTAAGAAATAAGCTTTAAAGGGGTACAAAAAGATAATAGAATTTTATATCACTATATGCAACTGTTTTTATACATCCTCGTAGTTGTTTGTACGTCAAAGCGACTGTCAATCTGCAAGTCGAAGTTTAAAATTAAATATTAATGTGTATGGTTATTTCTTTGTCCTGACAATTTAAAATTTCGATTAGGATCAAATTATTCGCGTGCGTCAAACTTTGACTTGATTTTTACATGAGTGTCTCTAACATATACATATTACATTGTACGTAAGTATTCGTAACCGAAGCTTTTACACATTGAATATGTTAACTGTCTTATTACTCAGAGTTATTTACTAAGGGAGACAACTTAACGACACTTAAGTGCTCTGACTCGTACATTTTAAACAACGATTTAATAAACAATACTCGTTTATACGTACGTTATAAATAAATTAAGGTAAAATGAGTTTCACCATACATATACAATAATGTATGACTAAACATATATGAGTCACAATTATGATATATATATAATTTGCAGCTCATATCTTTGACGTTATAAATTCTACTAGATATGAACAGCTATTGTAATACTGGAGATTACATTTTCCTCGTTGACTTACTTTACTGGTTACGATGAACCCCTGATGCCATTTTGTTTACCATCCATCATACACCCTAGGTCTTCTTAACTCCAGGTCTACTTTAACCAGCTTAAGGAGTAAAGTTTTAATAAATACAAACAAAATATCGATGCATTTACTTTTTCAGTCTACATGTAATATAATTTTTTTTTCCTTATACATGATATTTTACTGATAACAATTTTATTTTTTTATTTTTGTCTGTATGTACGGTTGCGAAGCAGCGTTTATTTCGCGTATTGTGCAGAACAGCTGGACCGATTTTGTTGGGACTTTGTCGGGAAGGTAGATGAACACGCGGCCATATTATAGGCTACTTATATACATAGATGTTGTATATTTATAGTAAAAGGCACGACAGCATGATATTTTAACATATAGTATGTAGGTCTTGTAGTTTTTTAATAGCACATATCAGCGTTCCTTATGTTCAAGTTCTTTGAGTAACTGCTATATGGTAGAGTCGTTTAATTGTAACTGTAGGGTTTAGAGTCAAAATTATTAACTTTGGGCCTGATTGCCTGTTAAATAATTCAGAGTACAGTAGTTAGTAATTGTATAATACATATGTTACAATCACGAAGAATTAGTTAAAAATTATATTATATATAATAATTGCATCATTTACTTATGATATAAGTAAGTTTAATTAGTGATATTTGAGTTATTTTATATTGTACTAATGAATATTTATTTTTGCAGCTCTTCCGCCATCTTACGACCAAGTAGTCGGCAAGGGTTACCACTAAACTGCGAGCGAGTTTTAGGCTTATAAGTTGAGAACTAGTTTCTAAGCGTCTGTTATACCTAGACCTATATCTTCAGTCTCCGATGTTTCCACTTAGCTGGTATTAAGTGGATGCGAATTAAAATGTTGTTCATTACATAAAAAGTAACTAAATGATATGTGGATTAAATTAAACTTTACTGTACTCTAAATAAATAGATACATCCGAATATCGAATTATTAAATTAAACGTATGTTAGAAAATTAAAAACATTCATTCGATATTTGTACTTCTATAACTGTATTGTCGATGCACATCCCTAATTAAAGTGACACTGACAGCTGTCAAAACGAATGTCACTTTATGACGCATGTCATCTGTAGATGGGCCAATTTAATATGTCTAGTGAGCTGTTTAAAAACATTGAAGAGATATTGACTTAAAACATATGTGAAACATTTAGTTGTTATGAAGAGTCTAGGTTCGTTCGGATTTTTTTGTGTTTAAAAAGAAAATAATTTCACTGTGTTAACATTGTAACGACGTTCGATTGACTTGATTACTATTCTGCAGTTCTAACTTCAAAAATATTAATAATTTGAGTTCGTCTTTACAAGGTTACGTTGTTGGATTTTAATGTTGTGTGAAAACTTAATAAAATGGCCCATCTAATAATAATAAATATTGAATTATATGTTCAAAGTACATTAGTAAGTTATAAGAGAAAAGCTCGATGTCTCAATGTAGATAGGCTTTATAAAATGTTTAGCGTAGTACACTATACACTAAATATACATACATAATATAAAACAAGGTATTTAATTTAATGTAATTATTCCGAATTTTATTTACAATTTCTATTATGTAATCTATAGATGGAGTGATTTATTCAACATTGACATTTCAATCTACATTTTTGACATGTCATTTTGTGTTGTATATGACAACACTAGGAATTACGTCAATAAAAAGCCTTTTTTCGCTCCAATTTCTGTGCACTAGATGTCTCTGTCTATAGGTTTTTGTTATCTATGATGGACTCTTATAGAATTTCTTAAGTATCTTAAATGTTTTATGCATTTTTATTATATCCACAAATATATGATTATGACATAATTTATTTATTCAAATTATTGTTTCTGTATGATTGTTGTTGAATGAATTCTATTAGAAGTTAAGCTAAATTTTATCTGAAACTATTAATTTTTGTTTGATATTTTATGCTAAGCTTAATATTGAATTATTCAAACTTTCGTGAGACATTATACTAAACTGATATATAAACACGGCTAAACACTCACGTATATACGTCCGGTGGGGGCCCTTCATGAAGGGCCCCCGATGTGCTCGAAACTAGTCGGTGCCGCCACCGGACGTATATACGTGAGTGTTTAGTCGTGTTTATATATCAGTTTAAGCTTAATATGTGAATTTTAAATATACTCAAAACATCTAGTTTTTCAAATTAAATAAATCCTATACATTTCGTATTTGAATAAGAAATAATAACAGTATTGTACAGTAAAACAACGTATTTTTTTTTAATTATATATTTTAGCAATACACATATAAGAAATAAATCTTGTACTCAGTAATAATCTATTCATTGTTCTTTACATATTTTTTTATCATACGTAAGTTAAAAAAATATGTAGAATTTTTTTACGATCGTTATAAGTGAAAATTTATCTCTCTTTGATGTCCATTGCAGAGATTTGTTGTAAAAAAAATTGTTTTGATATATTTATGCAATGAAAATTAATAGTTTTCATAAAAAAAAATCATTGTAATATAATTTTGTAGTCAAAATATACTATATATAATTATTATTCAGCTTATTAAAAATTTTGTTAAGAATTTAGCAAAATACTTCAATGTGTTACAATTATTTATATTTTTAGTATAATATTATATAGAATATGAACAAAGTATTATAAAGCCTAGTTTCTTACCTCTAATCACCATATGATTCCTTAATTAGAAAAAGTAAACAAAAACTGGTAAATAAAAATGTTAAGTAAATTTTAATAGTAAAAAAAATCATTTTACAGAAAACGTTGTATGTATTTGTCGCTATATATCAGTTGTTTTCTTTAAAAAGAGAATTTTATCTTATGTACGGTGCTCATTTATATACTCAATTTTATTTCTAAGTCCAATTAAAATTTTATTACAATTATATTGAAAATCTTATATATAAAATAGTCGTGTCACAATTTACGTTCCCATACTCCTCGGAAACGTCTTCACCGATTCTTATGAAATTTTCTGAGTGTTTTCTATTTTTAATCCCGCGCGGACGGAGTCGCGGGCGACAGCTAGTTTATTATAAGACTGATTTTAAAAACAGCTTTTAATCGCGCTGTGACATGTTTTATTTCTTAACTACAAAACATAAAGGTGCGTTTACATTGCTGAAATACTTTACCAAGAACATATGTCTATAAAAGAGAATTGTAATATAAAATTGCGTAAAATTTATTTTAACTTTTGGTACTTAAAACTTCTATCTTCTCCGTCCGTTAAAATGTGCTTTTTATATTTGTTATTAATTGTCAAAGTTTAATATTTGCTATCAATGCTTTGTATTACTAAATTGACGCTAATCTCATCTTAAACTTAAAATCCATGTAAACTTACTCTACTAATTTGGTAGTAATTCTTGTGTTGTCAACACAAAGCATGTCACAGTCTGCATTTAATAAATTTAAAAGTACATTAACTCAATCAGTGTGTGTTATATTTTACAGAATATTTATTATAAATAAATATTTATTGCATTTTTTCATTTTTTGGTGTGGTAATACTAAACTCCCAATTTACTTTGGTGCATAAAAATATGAAAACTCAGAATTATTTTTTAAATAGATTATTAATAAATTACGATAAAATATGTTGCCATAATAAAATAATATATTCTGTTTCTCTCATTCATAATAAAAGCTCAATATGTACAGGTCTCCTGTAATTGTAGTTTTGTTGTTTAAGACGTCATGTGATTTACTAAACTGATAAATGAAATGGTTCATGAATAATGTTGATGAAAACTTATTTATTATCTCGTACGTGTACCAAAACAATAACTTAAATACACGTTTAATAGATTCCGAGATGAACATCTCATCCCTGTCAAATTTTTTAAACGGGATTTTGGTCTCGGAAACGCACGGTAAATAAGTGAACATTGTTTTGACAATGGAAACTGTTCTATAATTATAACTTGTGTATGTATGAATGTAATTCTATCTTTGATGTTAATTCTTAATAAATATACTGCATATTGAATTCATTGTTTTATTCAATCATTGTTTACTCGTTTCAGTTACAGACGTTAACAATAGATGTCACATTCAAACTACTAGGGCTTACATCTCCGCATACAGACATATTGATAAATTTCATTCAATATGTAACGAACTAAAATATACAAGAAAAATAGTAAAAGCTAGTTAATAGGACCATACAAATCTAAGACAAGAAATGTGATTTTTTAAATTTTACTTTACATTTCTGATTGCGAAGTATTTTTGCTCAAGTTACATTATTCATCTTGTTAATTGGTAATTTGTGTATAAAGCTGTTTATTGTTTTGGCATTTTGCCGAATTGTTCTGTACAATGTCACAAGTCACCAGGCATGCATATATTTTATATTGTTTTATTCAATTTACGATCTTTTACATAATCTTCTGTTCCTGAACGTACAAGAAGTGTTAGATAAAAATTTTGATCAACTTTTCTTGTATGTACAGTTATCTACGAAATATTGTCGTAATTTTATAGATTAGTTGCGGCTAGAAGTTTCTGAGACTGGTTTATACAAATTAAAAATCATACAAGTTACGTAAATTTATCAAAACCCATTCTCAAGGAACAATACAGATGTATGAGATGATGGTTTTTCCAAGTTGTCTAAATACTTTTACTGTTACTTTTAGAATCCGCTTCGGATTTCATTGACTTTTGTTAACATTGGTTATGATAATGAGTGATATTTGTCTTTCTATAAGAAGTGTGGAGGGTGGGGTGTGTCGGAGACGGGGTGCGTGCGGCGGGGGGCGGGGGGCGGGGGTCAACGATTCTCCGTCGCCGACGTCGCGGCGCCCGCATAGGGCTGCCCATACTTTCTTAAACCTTAACTTGGCTTTTCAAACGCAACAGGGAAGCGAAATATTAACCTTTTATCTTTATCACATTCTATTAAATTTTTAAAAGTTAACTAAAATCCAGTATTCGTTTCGTGACGTTTATAATTTCGTTTTTAGAAACATATAATCCAATCACAATAAACAAAAAGTCCCACAACTATTGAAAAAGTACATAAGGAATTAATAACAAAATAGGTAACTTGTGTGTTCAGCCCTAAGTGCCGGCGCCGGCGCCCGGCTGGCGGCGCTACTTGTTGCTGCGTCTATTCCTCGCACAACATCTCGTCTTCCAAGCACACGCACACGCAGCGTACACAGAGAACCAACACCCTTCTCCTCCGTGTCTCACACTGTCAAGTAGCAGCGATCCGGCATTCAGTGTTACTTATTGACACTCAAGATCAAGTGATTCAATTTAAAATATCTATTTAATATTAAAAGTGTGCAGTATTTATAATATCTAGTAGAACGTATTAAAAATGTGATGCTTAGAAATGAGAACTTGATTTGGTGAATTAATGTTATCAACTGTGTGTGTGTGTAAATGTTGGATCGATTGGAGTTAACGATAGTAAGGATATTTTGTTGATGCTTACAAATAGATTTTAACTGAAAATGAAATAGTTATTCAGTTAGAATATGAAGTAAGTCTCAGTATTACTTTTGGGTAGTAGATTAACACAAATTTAAAGGAAATTGTTGTCACTTGTGTTGAGTAAAGGTTTGACATAAATTAAGGATATTAGAGATATTGCATTAATACGGATCATTGCTTCTATTTCGAGACGATATGATGTTTAGAGAGAACTTTCAATTTAAAATCAATTACGTTTGTGCATATAAAAGACATCAACGAAAGATTTTCCGACAACTTTTATACGTAGTTTAATTCTGATTAGAAAGTTAACTGAGCAAATTTTTTTGGTACTAATATACCAATGCCGCTGGTTCCCAGGAGCAAGTGAGGATGGGTGTGCCGGGCTCGTACGGCGCCGGCGCCACCAAGATACCAAGCCACGTCGCCTACTACGTGGCCATGGCTGGCATCTTGCTGCTCCTCATCTGCGTCTGTTGCTACTTCATATTCTTCTGCTTGCGGAGAATTAAAGGTGAGTACAGTGAAGTCTTGTGTATAAGAGTTCTATTAATGTAATTTTTGTTGAATTTAAGGCTTTACTTAGTTTGTTCATTCCACTTCCACTATTTATGAATAAACAGAGATATCAGCATATATTTACAAATGATATTGCAGTTAAAACTGATGATAACACAGAATTCTTTATTGTGTTCCAGAGCTGTCGCACCACGAGTTCCAGGAGGTGCGCTCCGTGCGCCCCCCGCCGCCCCCGCAGC